AACGACGAAGGACTTGCCTACCTGACCGATTTCGGGTTGGCCCGTAAAATGGACAACGAAGGTACGAACACCAACCTGGAGACGGAAACTCTCACGAAGGCTTCTGATACTTATGCAGCCCCGGGTGCGTGCTTGCTTGTCTCCTGATGGGTAGACAGAATCCTACTCAGGCCAAGATACGCACAAGGCGCGTAGCGAATGGAGAATCTGGGCCTACCGCTGTCGACCAGTGCGCCAACTGGCCCCAAGAAGACGCCCAGGAGGTTGCCCGCATCTGTTAAGCGAAAGCACGCGCCGTGCTAACTGGAAGACCCGATGTAGATAATTCACTTGTTATTAACTCTTGCCGAGCAGTAGCAGTAGCTGATGACTCGCGGTTGGATAGGAACTGAGACTATGGGACTCCGAACGAGCTGCATCAAGAGGGGACAGCAGAGTCTGTCCCCTGGTTTACCCTACCGCGGGGAGTTACGACTTCCCGGAACGGGGAGTTATGTTTCCCCGAGGATGGTTCTCAGGAACTATTCTCTATTGTGTTGCGTCTCGACTTCTAATCCTGTAACGCTAGCCCACCCTGGAGGTTCTCGTACGCAAATACTTAATGTTCGTGTGTTTGTATACGAACTGGTTAGATCTACCGAGGGCACGCAGATGGGGCATATGTACACCTTGAAATGGTTGCATGTGCGGGGACCCCTCGAACTCCAAAGAAAGAGGGCTTCTCTTCTCCCTACTCCCCTTGCGTGTCTAATACAAGAGATCAAACGTCTTCCCCTTCCAAGTAAAGGACATATACGAACACACTAGTGTCAGTCCCTCGAGGGAGAGTCCATTAGGAGTATCATGTCGCAAAGATGGGGTCGACTCCTCCAGAGACTCTGCGGCGGAAGACAGAAAGAGGTCAAGAGAAGAGCTCGTGGCCCTGAGGACACAAGTTAGCTCGCTGACGGATCAGATGAGCCAGCTAATGTCGCTAGTGGAAGATACCATGAAGGCAACCAAGAACGAGGAGCCAGCTGGCACCATGCAGGGTGCCGCTGATCGCGGAGATGCTAGGGAGAGCGCCGCCGCGGAGTCCGCGAACGCCGAAGGAGGGGCACCGTGGATCGGGAGTGCGCAGGACGAGAGGTACCTACGCGAACCTGTTCGAGAGTCTGGCCCGTCAGGGCGACACAGCGGCGAAGCAGGGGGCTTTGTCCCCCAAGACGTGAGAGTAGCCGCTGCTCACAACCAAGATTGTAGTAGTGCCATGGGAGATGGTGGTGCTGCTGTTGGCTTTGGATACGGAGCAACAACCCCAGCGATGGGGTACCAAAGTGTGCGGTACACTTCTTCTCCGTTCAGCGGGAAATCGAAAGATTCCAACGAATGGCTAAATGGTTTCCGCATGGCAGCTAATGGCGCAAACCTGTTGGAACAATTTCAAGAGAGCGGGAGCTTGGAGATCCCCGTCAACAGCTTCGCTGTCACAGCAGTACCGGAGCGAGCAAGTAGAGCTCGTAATCCACGTGTGGAACTTCCTGTCTCACGCGTTGAAAGAAAAAGATCGGAAAATCATGAAGAGGGCAGAGACGCCCCATGGAGGTCTTCGTGAGCTCAAGACCATACATGACCCTGAATCGTCTGTACAGCCGTCAGAGGACCTCAAGTCCCTGACGTCGACCAAGGTCTCTAGAGGTGAAAACCTTCAAAACGCCCTAAATGAGATGCTCCAAACCCCAAAGTCCTTAGCCGAGAAAGGACTAACTGTCAACGAAACGTTCGTCCTTCACTTTCCTGGATGCCCTTTCGGACGAGTATGCCATGACAAAGCACAACCTGCGACACGCGAAGGAGTTGACGCGGACCGGTGTGCTTAAGGAAATAATGATCGAATACAAGGCGATCAAGGACAAGCTGGAGCAGGGGAAAGGAAAAGGGGCGAAGGGCGCAGAGCAAGCGCACTTCGCCGACGGTGAGGGCCGCAGGGAGCGGTACTCAAGTAGGAGTCAGGGGCAAGGTCGTGGTCGTGGCGGCG